AATTTTATTATTATAAAACTCAGTTATATTATTGTTGGCTCATAACATATATTATTAAAATGAGTTAAAATTTGATGCTTAACAACAAAATTAATGGTAAAATAATACTTTTATACTGGTTTAACCAATTCATAAATTATTGTGTATAAAAATGTAATACAAATTTAAAATTTCAAATTTCATTGCAAAAAAATCAATTTTATGTTGAATGTATTAATTATTTATAGTTTATATTATGATAGATTGAAGTCACTTTGTTTATAAGTCAAGCTGTTATTTTAGTAAAATTTAATTATTTTACCGACTTTTTAATGAAAAATTTCTCTTTTCTTTATCTTAACTTAATTATATTTAATATGCAACGACTTTAATAGTTAAACACGATTAAATAGATGTAATGTAGGTACATTAGTACTTAATTTTTCAAAGTAAAGCACTTCGCTACTCTCCAAAAATAACTTATTTTCTAAAAAAAATTCAGAAGAAAAACGCTAAAAATTTTGTTAAACTATTATCGAACATTTTTGAAAGTGCTTTTTTTTAATATATTAAACTTGGAATTTTATATATTCCGTGTTTTGTAGTTAATTAAATTCTTGTATTCGTAATAAGATCGTGATTTATTTTTTTAAATAAAAGAATTTAATAATAATGATTTAAAAATCGTGATTAATAATATTTAGTTTTAATAATTAATCAAAGAATACATTAAAAGAATGTCAAATATTTTTAATTAAATGACATTAAATTAATAAAATAAAATGCTGATAGCGCAACGAATAATTGAGTCGTTTAATTTATTCTTTTGCTAATTGAATAAAAGGAAGTTTGATATTTATTATAGCAGCAATTAACATAATATTTTTGCTTGTACTTTTTTAAATTAATGACGTTCTGATGTCAATGACCCGCAGAAAATTTATCAAACTGTATGATGCGAAATGTTAGATATTTTAGTACAAGTCACTCCATGTAAAAAATATTAAAGGCTTAATTTATAAAATAAAAAGTAGGTTACAAAATAAGATAAAAAGATAAAATAAGATCAGACATTTTAACGCTAGTTTTATATGATTTATCGATCTATTAATCTTGGTTAAAAGTTTTTTGTGTTCTTTGATAATAAGTGTGTTCGAAAGCCACAACATTTCACAGCTCAGTTCTACCAACTTTCTACAATATCTATGATATATTTTTTCCTTTATTCACTTACTTTTTATTTTTCTTGCAGATTTTAAGTGTAAAAATCGTATTTTTTCCATTTCTTTTTTACTTTATAATTTTTACTGTAAAATATACCAGAAAAAAAATTGTTTTAGTATCTCTATCCTGATTAATTGAGGTGTTCTAAACATCTTTTTATTCATTTTAGATGATATTTTATGACATTTTCGATAAATTTAGTTTATTTATCTAGACTTAAAATACATATATTATAAATTATAACGTGAAATTTTTTATTTTTTGATATAAAATTACTATCGATAATGAAAAAATCATTATTTTTTTAAATAAAAATAGTATAATTTATCAATACATTTTTTTGCATTTTAGGGAATATTACATTTTAAGAATTTATTATTATTTAAATGAAGAGCGAAATAAATTTAAATATTAAACAGAAAAACATAAATTTTAATAATTTTCTTGTAGAAAATAAAAAGTAAAAATAAATCATAAAAATTACAAATAATGTTCAACATTTTAATTACGCGAAAAAATAATATTAAACTGATGTTATTAAAAAAATAAATACTTAAAAAACATTATTTGATTTTTATAAGAGTATAAAGTGCTTTTTTTCATTTAGAATTTTAAAATAAAATTTTAATAAAATTGTCTTTAAACTTCGTAAGAAGTTTCATCTTATATACTTTTGAAGTAGGCCTACAGCAAAGGTTATTGAATTAGTCATTACGATGTCACCTGATTATCTCAATTGTTACAAACGTCACACGTAAATGAAATAGACTATAATACGGTTGACAGAATGACAGATGATCTGCGTTTATAGAAAACGTTTCAATTACGTCCGTTAAGGGCTTACATTTCACTTCTCGTGACGTAAGGTTAAAAATTTGAAAAGTTCAGCAGTAATTTTTGATAAAATAATTTTAAAAATCGATACAACAATCGATAATTATCCATTAAGACTAATTTATATAGCGAGATGAACTTGTTAAACATAATGTATTGATAAAAATGGATAAATTTGATACAATTTCTAGTATCGTGTGAAATTTGAGTGTTATAAATTGGCATTTAGATATAGTGATATGGCGATCGTATCTATAATACACCTAAACGATCATTTATTATATNGTCCGAAAGGAGTGGAAAATTACAAGATAAATCTGCAAATTATAGCCAGGAAATTTCGTGAAATTCTTCCAGAAGATTGCTTAGTTATCTGGTTAACCACATTACCGATATCGCAAGATGTGAAAGGAGGATTTCTAGTGCCAGAGTTGGAATTCCTGAAGTTTTCACTTAGATTTCATGTAATGGAAGCCAACATATACGCTCGAAAGGTATTCAACAAGTATGGTTTGGACATATTAGATCTTCATTATCGTTTACAAATGCATATACATCAGAGGAAAAAGGACGGAATTCATTGGGAAGCTAAAGCAGTTAGACACATGACCAATTCTATTCTAACGCACATTTCTTTAGCTTGGAATGTAAAGTTGCCTTCTATATTTAACAAGCACATGAACGTAAAAGATGAAAGGAACTTAGAAGAAAAGGATAATAAGAAAAACACTATAGAATATAATATAATAAGTAAGGTGAGTATCGATTAAAAATGGTTCAATGATTTTTTGTGCATTTTACGTTAATAACATGTTTATACAAGATTACATGTATTATTTCAGTACAAAATTGACAGAAGAAAGATTCCTGATAACAATTAACATGGAATTTTGATTAAGAATTTTTCATATTTGACTTGAAGTATCATTACAATATTTAACGTAAACTGTCTAATAATTTGTTAACGTCTTCATATTGAAAGTTTGTTTAATCAATGTTTCATTATTGTCAGAATTGTATTTCAATGTGATTTATGTAAAATTCATTACAAATCAATACTAAATTTTAGTTTTATTGTTTTTTTTCAATCAGTAGGCCTACAGCAAAGGTTATTGAATTAGTCATTACGATGTCACCTGATTATCTCAATTGTTACAAACGTCACACGTAAATGAAATAGACTATAATACGGTTGACAGAATGACAGATGATCTGCGTTTATAGAAAACGTTTCAATTACGTCCGTTAAGGGCTTACATTTCACTTCTCGTGACGTAAGGTTAAAAATTTCAAAAGTTCAGCAGTAATTTTTGATAAAATAATTTTAAAAATCGATACAACAATCGATAATTATCCATTAAGACTAATTTATATAGCGAGATGAACTTGTTAAACATAATGTATTGATAAAAATGGATAAATTTGATACAATTTCTCGTATCGTGTGAAATTTGAGTGTTATAAATTGGCATTTAGATATAGTGATATGGCGATCGTATCTATAATACACCTAAACGATCATTTATTATATTTATAAGGTACAATAAATATATTTATGTGTTTATCATACTTTAACACATTGTTACTTCGTGGTGATATATCATGATACACTTCAATAGAAGAGAAAACAAAAGGATTCCTTCTGTTGGAGTTATTCTAGAAGGAAAAATAAACTATAAATTAGATCCTGAAATTGTTTTTTTTTTTTTAAATATTTTTTACATAATTTTTTGAGAACTGATTGAGTGTAAAATCAAAGAATATATTATTAAATTCGATTTTATTGCTTTAATATTTTTAAATATAAATTTTAAAGTTATAAAAGAAAATTACATTATTAAAATTATTTTATTTTATTTTTTAAATAAAATATATATTTATAAGCTATTTATTATAGCGCCATCTTTTGTTAATATTTAAAAACATTTTACATAAAAAACAAATTTTATTCAACATTAATTATAATACTTTGAATGTATAAAAAATAAATTATAACTAGACTCTATCAATTACACAACTAATTTTAATAAAAGCAATCAATAATCATGTTTTTTTTTTTTAATTCAGAAATAAAAATTAAAATTTTTATAAAAAGTTGCTATGCTTTATTTTAAAATGTTTTTCTTAATTTTCTTTTATTATTCTGAAGTCATATTAAAATGTTAATGGAAGTTGATAGCTTAATTACATTTTAATATCACTTTTTACATTTTCTATTTTCGTATTAAAAATGAATAATTAAGAATAACAGCAATGTCTTTAGAGAAAAACGATACTCTTTACCTTATTGTAAATAATTTTTTTTTAATATTTTATAATGTAAGTAATTTTAAATGAATTTTTTTATTTTATAACTTTACTTAAAATATTATTTTAGCAATAATTAAATATTAATATTAATGCAATAAAATTATTTGGGATAATTTTAAATATAGAAAGTTTAGTAAAGTTTTAAGTCGTAGTTTCGTCAATTTTTCTTTTATCGTTACTCCATAAACAATTCATATAAATCTCTGAAATAAGATTAAATATTTTACTTGAATGTAAGTTACTTTAATTTATTAATTTATTATTATATATTTTGTTTTGATAATGCAATTTGTTCATAGAATTAATTTAATTTATTTATATTAATCTTTTAATATCATATTTAGTTTACATTTTACAATTTTTGTAATAATTATTTTATTTGTTATAGTTTATTCACATAAATTATTCAATATGTTTCTATTCAAATTATTGAATTTTAACTCGTAAATTGATAACACTTAAATTCTTACAGCTCGTTTGTACACTTGTAGTTTGTTTTAAAAATTAAAATACAGCTTGTTCAAATATTTATTTACTATTTTTCCTGTCGTTTTTATTTTTTATTCATATAAATTATTACAATTCGTGCGTATCAATTATTTAATTATGCGGATGAAAATTATGAATTTATTTACGTTTTATGCCACACAATAAAAATATATTTAAAACTACAATTATGAGAAAGGTAAATAAAAAAAATTGAACTTATAATTTTATTTTATTTCTTCTATATTTATTCAATTATTATTCATAAAATTATTTAGCTAAGAAATCGTATGAACATTATTTTCCGTGTAAGATAAAATTCAATTCATTTATTATGTAATATAATAGAGTGTTTTATTAATGGTTTATTTAGATGATAAAATTATATAGAAAATCAATTGAAAAAAGTTTTTTTTTCATATAAATTGAAGATTTTATGATAATTTAAATAAAAAAATTAGAGAAATACTTTATTCAGGTTATTAATTTACTGTACTGTATAGAGATGTCGATAAACTTTTCTATACTGTATACCAATAATAATATTATTACTGTATTAAAAATAAAATAAAATTGTGTTAATTTAACAAATATACATTTTATATATGTAATTTATTTGTTTAATATAATATCGTATCTTTATAGCTTTTTTACAAAATTGACGAAAGAAATAACACAAGTCTTTTTCCAACCGGTAGTTTGCGATTTCCTTTAAGTAATGAACTGTATGATTTATTTATATGTCAAATATACAGTAGGTCTATTATATACTTTTGCTCGATTTAGTAATATTACTTTTAAATTTTTTAAACAATTTTTTGCTATTAAAGAAATACAATATAAGCAGAGTTAAATAAATAATAATAATAATAATTTATTTATTCTGCTTATTTATTAATATTTACGTTCAATAAACGAAGTAAATATTAAAGTTTATTTAAAATATAAACGTAAATGTAAGAAAGTTATTTTTTTTAAACTAAATCATTAATTTGAATGAATTAATATCGAATTAAGAACAAAACTTTTATAAATGATTAAAATAATAATAATAATAATAGTAATTTTGAATTAAAATATGTTGAATAAGTTTAATTCTATAAAATTTAAATCATGTTACAGACTAATTTTTTATTATTTACGATATTAACTTTTCCAAATTTTTAACTTTTTATTTATGTAAGAAAGTTCACTTTATTTGTATTTACATCATATATTTTAGAAATTTAATATATTAATATTTTTATTTACATTAAACGAATTATGTCTTGGTAACCATTAAATTACTAGCATAAAATTAGACAACCATTAAATATTATTGACTTATCTTAAACATGTAAATCTAAGTTAATATTTTCCGAGTATTTTAACAAACACCAAATAGTGCCAGAGTCAATAATCTGTCATTTATGTTGTTCTTTGTCCATTGAGAATTTTCAAACTTGCCTAAGACAAAGTAGATTTACACAAGTCTCCAAACACATTAAGAGATGTGAAGATTATCGAAGGAGTCATCTCACTTAACTTTTCAGGTTTGTCTCTTAATGGATTCCTTCTTCTCTAATACAAGACGCGCTTTCCAACTGTTTTCGTTGGAAATCTGTGCAATTGTTTGATTTGCTCTCTAGCATATTTCATTTTATTGAATATTTTGTAAAATGAACTCTTCACTCTGACGTAAACGATCAGTACACGTGTACAGTATTTATCGCTTAACTATAAGAAAAATAATAGCTTATTTTTAAATTATTTATAAGGTGTGTTCATTTTAGAAAATATTTTAATGAAATAAACACCGTTTAAGGGCATCGAACATATCATTTTCTCGGCGCATATATTAAAATATTATGATAAATATTTTTTGGAATAATTTGTAGAAAAGTCGTGATTAACTATTTTATATACTTTTTTTTTCATATCTAAAAATTTTTCGCTTGATATTGTATGGTAATTTTAAACTCTACAATAAGATATAACGATAAAATTACAACGTCTTCAACTGGAAATTGACAGGATTTTTCTTACTTTTAAATCAATTTCGAGTAATATTATCTTCTCGTATAACTTCAGCTATATTTGAAGTTATATAGGAAGCTAATAAATTTCCAAGAGATAGTGATTTACATTCTGAAGAATTTTATAATAAATTCTTCTGAACTAAGTTGCTCTCAGCATCTTAATTTTGGAAAGGACGTTAGAAAGGAAAAAAAAAATTGTAATTTTTAAAACTTTAGATTTAAATTTTATTATTTTGAGTTTAAAAGAAACTGAAATAATAATAAAAATATNTTATTCTGAAAATCAATCATTTGATGAATATGATACAATTTAAAGATAAATTGTTAAAGAAAAAGTTATATTTTAATCAAATTTAATTATTTATTTTCTCTACGTACTTCTTTATATAAGAAGAAATTATTTTATAGATTTTTTAAATACTTTCTGGCATGTTTGATTTCGTGTATTGAAGCTTGGCAATCTTCCCGTCAAGAAAGAGACTCATTGAGAGAAATTCCTTATATAAATAAATGATATAAAATTCAAGAAAGTGAACAAATAATTGTTAAAACTAATACTGTAATATTTAGAATAAATTATTTGCTAAAACATGAAAAGTTATATAAGACTCAAAGTTGAATAAAGTATTATTAGTTAATGCTGTTTAAAGATTGGATTATACAGGGATTATTGTTGATAAATTCTAAGGATTAATCATTATCTTCAACATTCGACATCATTAACCATTTCAGATTATTACTTAAATATTGTTTGTTGTTAAAGTTTCGATTTTCGATTGTTTAGTGAAGATTTTGATATTTCAAACTCAAACAAAATATTTCGAAATTAAATATAATTGTCACTTTATATTCAAATATATTTTAGATAATAAAATAAATTACAGTTTTATTAGAAATAAATCGAAAACAAAATCTCTCTTATTGTAATTTTATAGAATAAGACTAAAAAATCCTGTTTTTTCCAATTTAAAGAAAGTAAATAGCTGTTTTAGTGCTTATTTAAGACATTCATACAAAATTTCTTATACTTATTAAACATTATACATTTAAAAACAAAAAATATACAAATTATGCAAATAAAATTAATTTTAAGAAATGTAAAAATAGCCAAATTATTAAAGAATTTTCATTTAAAATTAACTTTTA